AAATATTAAAATCAAAATTTACCGGTAATGGAGGGACCAAAAATCTTATCATCTCAAATTAATAATTTATTGGCAGGTCATTTATTGATAAAACTTATTAAATTAAATATTTTAGGTTGTGGACTCTGCATCTTTTGCAATAAATATTTAAACCACTGTTTATTTTTAAAAAATAATAAGATAGCAACTTGTCGTATTATTATAATGTATAATCCCTCCATTTCAAAAATATTTAATTTGATTTGACTCTCAGAACAGGAAGTGGAGAAGAATCTAGTATAGTAAAATCTTGATAAAATGACAAAAATGGTCCTATTGTTTGAGGGTAGATTTAAAATAATTTTATTATTTTTTCTCTATTTCTAAAGTCTGGTGTAACTTTTTGAGGTGCAATTTTTGCTACTTTTTCTTTTTGGTGGTAGATGTCATTTATGATATCACGGTTTCAGAGATTTGACATTAATTTCTGTGAGTGTAATATTTTCTAATTCAGTTACCACTTATAACTACATGTCTAGGAATCACAAGAACAAAATATACTAGAATCTTAATAACTCAATTGGTTGACTATCTAAATTTTCACATTGCTGATGAGAGTTCAATTCCCTCTTCTCCTACTCCCAATGAAAAGAAAAACGATATATGACACATGATTTAGTTCTCTCGCACTTTCTAAATTATGAAAGAAGGTCGGATTCCTAAAATGTCCATGCAGTCCCTCAATTATAAATGTGGGGTGCAACACATTCATAAGAAGGCAAAAATAGAATGAATAGAAAAACGATCTATGCCACATGACTTAGTTCTGTTGCACTTTCTAGATTATGAAAGAAAAATGTGGGGTGCAACACATTCATAAGAAGGCAAAAATAGGGGGAAACATACATTTGGCTGGAGAAAGAGTAGCTAACTATAATAATAGGTTTTTACTGTTAAAGCAACTCAAAGTTTCACACTTGAACAGACATTACTGAAGCAAATTGAGACAAAAACACACACACACAAAATTATATTCCTAAATGACACAAATCACAATTCAGGGGGAATGGTTTATTTATATATGACTATATAATTCTGAAAAAATTGTTGCTTTTCTAAAGAAGTATTATCAAGAACTTGCTTCAACACTGCTCAAACTCTGTCGCATAATATCATGAATCAAAGTCTCTATGTTTATGTAAGATGAGCCATCTTCCTCTAATGCGCTCTCCGCCATTTTCGCGATCTCTTTTGCCTTTCTACGCCGATCTTCTCCTTCTACACCCTCATCGAAGATTGTCTCAATGGCGTTCTTTACGCCTTCACGCTTCATAACTAGTCCTGATTTTTCTTCCATTCCCCATGCAACAGCAGCCTTGACTCCCACACTGACACCAGTGCCTAACACTTGTGTGATCAATTTCTCATTAATAAACTGTTCAGCAAACAATGGACAAGTAATTATAGGTAAACCGGAACAGCACCCTTCTAGAGTCGAATTCCATCCACAGTGCGTTAAGAAAGCGCCTACAGATGGATGAGACAAGACAAGAATTTGAGGAGACCAGCCTTTTATTAAAAAGCCTCTTCCTTGAATCCTCTCTTCAAATTTTTCTTCTTCAATCCATTTCTCTAACTCTTTTGATTTCTCTCCTCCTCTCAGTACCCATAGGAATGGCCTATTTGATGCTTCTAAGCCTAACCCAAGTTCCACAAGCTGTGAACATGTTAGGCCACATATGCTACCAAGACTTGCATAAACCACAGAGTTTGGTTCTTGCAAGTCAAGCCACTTGATGCATTGGTTCTGTTCCAAAGACACATTTTTGCCCCTTGCAGCCTTTTCAGATTCCGATTTGTTGCAAGCTGAGACAGGGCCAATGCACCAGACTTTCCCACTTTTGATCTTCTTGAATTCTTTAACATAGTCAAGCTCCAGTTCTTCAAATGTATTGACAATAATCCCATCTGAGATGGATTCAGCAGCAACCATCTTATTGCGAACATCGACTAAGTCAGGTGAACCTGGATTCAGATTTTCAGGCAATTGTGCTTTAGTCAGCTCAATTCTATGAGGCAAACCTGGTACAACAAAAGACTCAAACTTTGACACATTCTCATGAACTTTGGAACTCTGTAACTTCTGTGTGCATGTAGCAGAAAAACAGCCCATACCATCAAAGAAAATCCTAGGAACTCTAAACTTACGCGCACTATCGACAGTCCACGCCATGTTTTTCCCAGATATTATGCAACAAGGACTAGGCTTAAGATCACTGAACAATTCTTCAAATGGTTTTTGCAACATGCTAGCAGCAAGAAAGAAATCCCTGATCGAATCGCGTGAAGGTAAAGAATCCATGTTCTCACATCCCTCAGGCAAGCCAACTTGTACTGCTGGAAATTTGAGTTCATGTACTCTAATCTGAAGGCCTGATTTGATAGAGGAATCAATACCTGATTTGAATCTGATAGTGTTAAGGGGTGTAGAAATTATAGAAACAATTACACCATGATGTGCTAACAATTTAGCTAAGTCCACCATAGGGATGAGATGGCCAGGGGACATTAAGGGTACAAGAACAAAGTGAAGTTGAGATTTTTGAGCAGCCATTGAGTGATACAAATTTTCCTCTTCAGTTAGCCTGATGAATCAGGAGAGTGTGAGAATTTGAAGTAGCTTTCTTGAGTGTTTCTTGAAAGTTGAAAATCACTCTCTGGAAGTGAGATGCAACTCAAACTTCCTTTAGTAATGTTCTGAACTCAGGTTAGAAGGCCAAAACTACCACCAGGCTTATAATCCTATGGCGAGACTCGGAAGCGGGGTCAGATTTGAAGTTTATGGGTTCTGAATTGTATCCCATAGTGTAGATATAATTGTCACTAACCCCTTCTATATAATAATAAAAAAATACTCCATCCGTTTCAATTTGTTAGTTTTACTCTTCTTTTTAATTTGTTCAAAAGAGGATGTTTTTTTCACTTTTTAGTAACTTTTTAATTTTAACTTTTCACGTGACATGTTTAAGACTACACGATTAAAGAATATTTTGGTACATTCTAAATATCTTTAGTTTAAGATCACAAGATTCAAAAGTCTTCTTTATTTTCTGAAACTCCGTTATAAGTTAAAATCAGACAATCAAATCGAAACAAAGGGAGTAATTCTTTTTAGAGAAAAAGGCCAAAGCTAGAGGTAGGATAGGTATAAACTATAAAGTGACGTGAGGATACACAAGCCTAACTCTCAATATATGCTTATCTTGGTGGATGATGTGAAAGCTTAGCAATGGAAGTCAACATACACAGGTCATGTGTGGTGCTTGTTTAATTTATTTTCTCCCTCTTTGTCCTATGTTTTTCTAATTGAAAGTGAAGGGATAAATTATTCACACAATCATGTGATTGGATATGGAGGAGAAGAAATACAATGTACTTACTAAACAAAAGAGACTTGAAAGCATATTTTATATTCCCTTTACTTCAATTATTTGTTTTATTTTCCTTTTGATAAAAGAATGTCACTTTCCTAATTTGACAAATCTTTAATTTCAACATCATATATCACATGTTTAAGACTACAAGATAAAACGACATTTTTGGTACATTATACATATTCAAAAGTCTTTCTTTACTTTCTTAAACTTTGTGTGAAGTCAAACTATGACAAACAAATTAAAACAGAAAAGGGAATATTATTATTTTGTTCCTTTTCTCTATCCAATCACTATAGAGTGTGTTTCCCTCTCTCTTGATGTTTTAATTGAACTACGCAGCAGGAAGGGAAATTACAGGAAAACTGATGTCCAATTGGAGAAAAAAGAAAATAACTTACTAAACAACCAGATGAAACACTTACTGGATTCCATCAAAGTCAAAACTCATAATATATTGCTGCAATGCTAAATTATGAGTTTCCTCTGACAATAGAATTTAATGAAGATGGAAAGTATTAAAGTCTTTGCAGGGCTGGAAGCTAAGTCATTATCATCTCAGAATATTATAAGTAAAATTTTCAATATTTTTTCTTGTCCTGTCACCTACTGGTCATTTGGCAAGTTCATTGAATGAAACTTCAGAAAGATGAGATTCCCAAAGTAACAAAGGCATTAAATAGTCCATGTTCCATGTTGGTAATAGGGCTAACATTGCTCTTAAAGGGCAACCAAACTCAGTTTAATCATAATAAGGATTGCAAGTTGCAATGGCTGCCAACCTTAATTTTCCCTTTATAAAAGGGCATTTCCACTGTCCTAATAAATGAATCAGATCAGGTGTAGCTTAGTGATCAATAAACTGAGTGCAACAATAATATACTCAGTGTGATCCTACAAGTGGAGTCTAGGGAGGGTAGGATGTACGCAGACTTTACCTCTAGTCCTCTACCTTTACAGGATAGAGAGGTTGTTTCCAACAGACACTCGACTAAAAAAAAATCAATAAAGTGAGTGCAAATCTTGAAAACCAAGGTTCAATCCCAACAGATTCATAAAAATACTAATGTACGCAGACTTTACCTCTAGTCCTCTACCTTTACGGGATAGAGAGAGGTTGTTTCCGATAGACCCTCGACTCAAAAAAAATCAATAAAGTGAGTGCAAATCTTGAAAACCAAGGTTCAAATCCCAACAGATTCATAAAAACACTAGGTAACCTTTTCTCTTGTCTGCCTAATTCTTGGTGCACTTGAGCCGAGGGTCTTTTGAAAACACCCTCTGTACCCTCTTAGATCCCACTTGTGGGATTTCACTGGATACGTTATTGTTATTGTTGTCTGCCTAATACTTGGTAGGCAAAGTGACTTCAATGCCTGTACTAGCGGAAGGTAACATGTACTTGTTGGAGTTGTCGAGGTGTGCATTGACCTGGACACCAGCTTTATGGAAAAAAAAATAATGAATCAGATCATTGAGACAAACAGGGGCTCCACATAAAGGATCAACCATAGAAGAGTTTTTCCAAGAATCAATACGCAAGTGTTCAATGACTTGAAAAAGATAATTATTGTAATGAGAAGAAAATATACAAAATTATTCGTTGTCGAAAAACAAGAATTTACACAATGAGCAAATCCCTCTACAAAGCTGATATAAAAGCACAGTTTTACAAGTCATAATGATGAGACTTACAAACAAAGATCAGAGGCTTACAAGTTACAAATAGCAGAAAATGTTGTTGGCCACTGCACATGTTAAACCAACATAAGGGCTAGCAAAACTGAGATACAACCTGAGACACTCCAGGCTCCAGCTTTGGTTTAGACTGATCACATGAAGCTCATCGAACGAAAGAACTTCAAAACTCAGCAAGTTATAGTTCACATCAAAATCATAATTCTCCTAGCAGGTTCTGGCTCCTGTCCTCAAGCTTGAATTGATTTCTTCGAGACGGGCAGAAGAACAATTGCTCTAGAAATTGCATCTGCTGAATGGCTAGCTGTACCCACAACAAAACCAATAACCTAAAAGTGAAAGATCTCAACAAGATTTAGTTCATGCACTTAATCATATAACCAATCCAAGTGAAGATTCTTATAGTAAATTTTTTGTAGTAAAATACCAAGACTAGTAGTATTATCAAGCACAAATATTATGAAAGAATTTCATACAATGACTAGTTGTATTGTCACTCAAACAGAGCTTATGAGAATGTTGTCACATTAAGCTAAGTTGTTTGGACTCACCAAAAATGTTATCACACCCGTGTCGGGTCCTCCAACAATGCCCTACTTTTGAAGCATCCGACACGCACCCGACAACATTTTTTAAGAGTCCAAGCAAGTCTAAGATTCTCTTCCTCAAGTTCATTTTAAGTAATTTGCCTAAAATCAAGGTCAGCAAGAACAATTATAAATGGAAGCCATCGTTAATTAGTTTAATCTCCAACACCAAATAACACAAATCTTCCTTTTGTTTAAAAAAATTAAACAATATTTCACCACTCATTTACCCGATTTACAGAAAAATATTTCACATTTAGGAAAGACAAAAACTTTGCAATTATAAACTAATCTAAAGTAAATTCGCAAATCTAAAGTAATTGCTCTAATACAATATTCACAGGAGACTTAGCAAACTACATAATACACAGATTAATTTCAAAAGCAAGTAGCTTTCTACATAAACGAAACAAAGAGAAAAAGATGGTAAAAATCAGGATTGTAGGGTTTATCGAAGAAGAAGAAAAAAAGGAGGCAAAAAAATTTGGACCATTTCTCGATTTGTGCGTGTCATCCTTGCGCAGGGGCCATGCTAATCTTCTCTGTATCGTTCCAATTTTATCGGATGTCCCCGAAGGGACAAACATACATGTAAGGGTTCCGCCATATAAACACAACGAAGCTTCTTTCCCCAGGCGATGAGGGAGAACTGACAAGTCAGAATAAACTTGGATTTAATTGGCCCTCTCGTTTACGGCCCACTTGGTTGATAACTAAATGGGCCGGCCGATTTATTCTTAATTCTTAAGCTGTGTAGCCATTGTAAACAAGTAATTATTACGAAAAATTATTAAAATACACGTCTTATGTTTTCCTTATTTCCAATATTCCCTTCTATTTCTAAAATCCCTTATTTCTCTCCTAATTCTAAATTATTTTATAATATATCCGAGCTAGTTTTTAATGTATCTGAGCTATATATTATGTATCCGATTTGTTTTACTTTTTCAGGGATTAATGTAATTACAAACTAAATAGGAATAGATTGTAATTTCATATTAAAACTATGTGATTCCTAAAATTTATACTTACTACTATAGTCCCTTTGGAAATACGGCAAAAAATTCCAATTATACTTTTATCATGATTTCTAAAAATAGTTATATCAAACTAGTTATCAATTTTAAAAATCAATATAACAAGTTTTCAAAAATACTTGACCAGAACATCGGAAAAATGAAAAACACAATGTTTTTCTTCCTATCGAACATATACAATATCCATATTGTAAGATATAAATAAGGATACAATAATCAAACCCCTCCAAATTAATGTTTTCTCAAGGGCGTGTAATAAAAAAAAACGACATAATTTGAGACGGGGGAGTAATTTTTAGACAGAAATAGTTTATTTGAATAATTTTAAATTGTTAAATAACTTTTTTTTCTTAGGCTAAGATTTCACGGTTTAATGACAGACCATAGAAAATGTCAACTAATTCATTCAACAAGAAATGTATTTGCCTTTTGAAACCTCGTTACTTTTTAAAAGTTCTAAAAGGAGTGACCTTAAAACGGCAAGTTTGTTTGGTAGATAATTATCTTCCCTCCCTACCTTCTTTTGATGTTAATCGGAAACAGACTCGGTAGAGGTAAGGTCTGCACCCAAACTCCACTTATGAAATTACATCAGGTGCGTTGGGGTTGTCGTCACCTTCTTTTGACATTAACATTAATATACATACACAAATACGACTGGGGAAACTTTTTTTTTACTGGACAAATAATTGACAGAAGAAGCTTTTGGCAAAAATACAATTCACTGGCATAGTTGTCCCCTTACTTGTACATGATTTTCTAGCTTCAAAGGGGATATTTTGATCAACACTTTCAACTATAAAGTAAGGCAAAACTATAGTACTGATAAGTAATAACCAAGCTTCCAAGGCAAACTCTCGGCATGAAGGCCTTACTGGCTAGGAACAGTACTTGCAGCTTCTTCTAAGATTCTTTGGGGTTCGGTGTCAGGTGCAGCAAGCTCACTAGGGGTCTGCAAGAATCACACGTCACATTGAATCGATCAGACATAAAAAAAACTCTTAACTACAAATGTTAAATCAATGAAGAAATGTTGCATCAGATGCTAACCTTTCCATATATATTGGTCCTAGAAGGATAAGCGCCTGAAGCTAGCAATAATCTAATAACATTTACATGTTCACCTCTGGCAGCATGATGAAGAGGCTATTCAAAATCAATCAAACACGATTAATGACAAGATGCTGCAACGAGTATTTACACGCAGCTACCATAGAAGTTTGAAGAGCTATTTCCGTACCAAATCCATGTGATGATTGTGTTTTTTACTGTTTAGATCCACAAAACTAAAATCAAAAATAAAATTTTAGTTGAAACATGAAACCCTCACCGTATCACCTTCTACATCAACAGACTCCAACATCCTCTTCACACAATCAGGATCAGGGGCACTGTTGATCAGCAGTTGGGCAATCTCCGTATATCCTGTTAAGGGTCAAATCTTTTTTATGGAAATGAATTGATGCACCAAAAATATGAAAATAGAGGGTAGCAACTGTGACCGTGAGTTATCACTATGAACTTGAAAGCATATGACATACCTCCAGCACAAGCATCATGCAATGGGAGTGCTCCATCTTCATCCTTAGCCTCCAAAGAAGCTCCCCTCTCTAACAATAGCTGGATGGAAATTAAAATCAAAGATGTTTGTTATCCTTTTGGTTATAAGATCATTAGGAGATCCTGATCAATAAAAATGGTGAATTCATGAAATAAATTAGCTACAGACACTTTTTTTCAATTGAGTATCACAAGTGACCAACCTGCACGCAAGACAGATGGCCATATAAACATGTTAGATGAAGAGCAGTGTCCCCATCTTCAAGAGGTTGATCAATGCTGCCAATCAAATTATCTGCACCAGTTCATCAGGTAAGAACACATGGATATGATGCAAAAATGGAAAATAAGGTATATTGAACAAGTTGTTCATTCCACTAAAAAAAAATCGCAACTTCAACTCAAATACTGTCCAAATGCCGAGTTAGTTCTCTAGAGAGAGGCAACATAATGCTCATTGCAGGCCTGTCAAAGTCACTCTATTCTAGACTTAGACTATTGTTATATAGAATGAGGAGGAGAGCAAGTAAGCATATTATTTCAGATATCAACGTAGTTGCAAGTTTCGGAGCCTACAGTACAACAGCCAAAGAGTGTATGAAGTAGGAATTCAAGGCAAGCTCCTCAGAACTCTGCTGAACCAAATTGTGCAACCTACTTCACTGTACAATGAGAACATATAATAGTTTGGGATGATTCTACATAGCTGGGCAGAAAGGTGAACTCCGAAGACAAAAAAGAGAGTTACGAAAGATCATATCTCGCAATCTCTCCCTCCCTCACTCTCTCTCTCTCACACACACACAATTATATGGGCATTGGCCTCTTAATAGTCCAGCTCAATTTCATTCCTACTCCTTTGATCATCCTCGAGATTGAAACGAAATATAGCTCCACAGACCAACCTTATTGCCATGAATCTTTGGCAACAAGGTGAAGAAATATCTTTTGGTACATTCCTTCTTTCAAAAATTATAATTAAATCAAGACTAAGAACCATCAATTTACTCCAAACATAAAGTTTTCATCTTTCAAACAATTAACCCCCATTACAGAACTCATCCACATAGCTCTTGAATCATTATCTATTTATCCTCCACCACACACTACATCACACTCAAAAATCCACATTTATCCCAAAATCAAAAAGGAAATTACCCCCACCCACCCCCCAAAAAAAACCCTTACCTCCACTTCCCCTCTCCGCATGTAGCTCAGATTCTCCAAAAATGTTGTCACACCCATGTCGGAACCTCCTAAAATACACTACAATTGGAACCTCCCACACACCAGTGGACAATTTTGAAGAATCCGAGCAACATAACTCTAACACTCCCCCCCCCCCCCCCCACCCCCCCCCCCCCCCCC